CCTGCAGTCGCTCTGAAAAAGCTGCGCCAGCTGAGTCAGCCGGCTGCTCTCGAAACGCTATTGCGGTACTTTGATGCCACACGTGACAGTGACGTGGCGCCGGTTCAAGTCGGACTAAATTTCTAACCGGCATGCACTGCTTCAAGTCAGCCGCCGATCGGTCGGCGCAGTGCTGCATGAAGTCGAACGCACCTATTGGCATGATTGAGAGCAAACGTGAGCGGTCACGGGCCTACGGCAGGGTGTGGCCAAGTAAAAAATAAAAAATCTCAAAAAAATCGCTAGTTTTATTTAAATATAGCTAAAATAGCTCCTTGTCGCAAAAAAATTTTAAAAGTCGCAGCTACAATGAGAAAGTAGCTAAATTTGGCGACAAAATCCCCAAATTGGCAACACTGGCTGTACCGGACCGTTTAACGTTAGATAGCGCAGCGCGAGCGTTGAGAGATCCAGTGAAGAGGGAATACACAGCAGAATTATCAACATCGCTGCGAGATCTATCGAAGCTAGTAAGAATCATTCAGATTCGGTACAGAATTCTGTTATTAATCAATAGATGTCAGATAACAGTGCTGACGTGAAAACCAGGATGGATATTGTGATATAAAGTTATAAGAACGTCTTTAGTCCACATATAATTCACCATGTATTTAGTAGCCATTACATTAAATAACTGCAACAATGTTAAATGCAACAGTTAAACAGTTAAATGCTTTTGAGTGCTTTCAAGTGCTTCATACTTTTTCCAGCACTGTTATTTTTTATGTGATTACTAAAACATTTTTTTATTCATTTTGCTTTTGAAAAATGTATTAAAGGGGTCCTATTATGCTTTTTCACTTTTAAAATTTTAGTCAGTGTGTAGCGTGTATGTTTGGGCGTAAAAAAGATCTAGAAAGTTACAAATCTCAAAGTCCACTCGAAAGGGAGATATTTCGTTTTTTAAAAATCCCTTTTCAAGAACTAGAGCAAACGGCTCGTTTGTCCTTATTTTCTCCACAACAAATGGCCAAGCAAGCGCAGACAGTGACAAGATACGCGATACAGAATGAGATTGGCCGAATTCCTCATATGACGGAAATGTTACGTCCCTTACCATATTGTGATGCCTGCGGCAAGCTTTCTTTGCGTGAACATTTGGGCATAACATACATAACATTTGGGCGGCGTTATGCAAATCTTCCCAGATAGTGATGTAGGTTCCTGGCAGCAGCCTTGCCTGTATACTGACTGCACCTGCACTTTCAAAACTATAGGTGCGTTAAAATCCCATTTGACAAGAGCACACAAACAGACTGGTGCAGTGACAGAGCACTTTAATTTTACATGCCAGTTATGTGATTTTAAAGATGTTTGTCAGCCATCTCAGTTTTTAAACCATATCGGAAACCATTTAAAGAGACACGATGCAGTCAAATGTCCTTTTAAGGATTGTGAGTTGACTACCAATGTTCTTTCAACTTTTAGTAGTTACGTGTCTCGTAAGCATAAGTCTCAAGGTTTCAAAGATTTTAGCTCTTCTGTTACATTTCAAATTGACGATTTGGAAAGCAATGAAGAATCATGGTCGGAAGAGACTGGAGATCCTATGCCAAATCCACAGTCAAGTGTTACAGCTAGCACTGTTCCTGTAACTCCTGGACCTGAAACAAACTCATGTTCAGAGCCTGTAAACTATATAGGGCTAAAGAGTGCAAACTTGCATCAATCGGGCCTTTCACACCGCGGGAACCTTTTCATAGTACCAGAACTAATTGTGGAGCTACCCACTTTTTGGCGTTTTCGCACCGCCGGAACTGGGTGCGATTTTAGTACCGGACTACTAATATCAGCTGAAGTACTTAAAACAAATCCTGTTTTTACAGCCACTGCAAATAAAGGTGCACTCTTGACAGATTATAGGCAAAATGCTTATTTTAAAGAGCATTTTCAAGTAATTGATCCCATTGAGTACCGTTTTGAAAGGCTACACCAAAATACATTTGTGTATGTCTCAGTGTTGAGAGTTCTGGAAGTGTTACTCAACAGGGCAGATGTCTTGGAAAGAGCTGTTTTTGTTGAGGATAAGGTACAAGGACAGTACACATCTACTCGTAGTGGGAAGTATTACAAAAACCAACTTTTAGGTCTTCAAAGTGATTGCATTTCAGTGGGTCTCTACATTGATGATTTTGAAGTTTGCAATCCCCTTGGCACGTCAAAAAAGATTCACAAACTCGCAGCTGTGTAAATTTGCCTGTCAAATTCCGCTCAACGCTTCCCTCAATACAACTGGCTCTACTTGGAAAAAGTAGTGATGTAGCAAGATTTGGTTACGACAAATTTTTTGACCCACTGTTAAGAGACATGAAAGACCTGGAGCAGCATGGTGTGTTTGTTGAAGCCTTGAATTCACATCTTAGAGGAACGGTGTATTGTGTATGTGCTGACAATCTTGTGGCTCACAGTCTTGCTGGATTTCAAGAAAGCTTTCAAGCTGAACACCTGTGTAGATTTTGCCAAGTCAGCAAGGATGACATGCAGACTCAACATGCTAGTTGGTTTGAGCTTCGAACCGTTGAACAGCACAACTCAATTACAGATGAACTGAGAGACCACCATGAGCTTCAGAGCAGACTTGGTGTAAAAAAAAAAAAGAATGCGTCCTCAGTAAGCACCTTCCTTTCTTTCACCCAATAACTGGGTTCCCTCCAGATGTCCTACATGACACATTGGAGGGAATTGTTCCATTTGAGTTATTAATTTGCTTGAGAGAACTCATCACAAAGGGGCATCTTACTCTGAACAACTCTATTAAGTCCTTTCCTTACAAGGACTCAGATAGAGTAAACAACCCCCAAGTAATTTCCCAATCCAGCTTTTCAAAGAAAACCATAGGTGGGAATGGGCATGAGAATTGGGCATTGTTAACTATGAGCATCAAATACAAGGTTGGCAACTACCGCCAGAACCTACGATCTGTAGGTTGCTCTGAAGTTGCTGTAAACCAGAAAAGAGCGAATGAGGATTCTAGATGGCTTAAAGCAAAGCGATGCAAGGTAAACTTCCTCCCAGACAACCCACTTGGGCAGACTGATTCTTCCCTTCAAAAGGAAAGGGATGCATTACAGGAGGAATTGAAGAAGAAACATCTCAACATGGAATTTGTTGACTCGAAAATGGAATTGACATTCTCACTGAGAAGGAAGGAGATAGTTGAAGAAGAACCTTTTGTAGCTGATGTACTAAGACAATGGCCAGCATTGTTTTTGGAACATCAGGTAAGGTTTTAAAGAGTAACTTATGACTTACTGTACACTTACTGTATTCTTATTGTTAATTCTGATTTTTTTTTTTAGGTATGTGCTGAGTTTTACAGAATCACACAAACAAACCTGAAGAGTACATTTTTCTCTTCTCTGGATGAATATGCACTCTGGATGACCAAGTTGTATAGGCGGAGCATATGGAGATAATATGAAGACCCTCCTAGACCAACTTGATAATCAGGTAATTATTTAGATTGTGTTCCTATATCTCTCGTTAAGGGGAACCTATTATGATTTGTTGGGTTGACTTTCTTTTGGTGTGTAATGTAGGTAATGTAGGAATTTGAGAATCAATCTAAACACATGATGCATATCATTTTTTTTTCCATATTTCCATCATTTTTCCATATTCCACATCGATGCATATCATTTTTTCCATGTTTGTCTTTCTTTGTCTCTCAGACCTCCGATGTGCTTGCTCATAGAAAGGCTACAGCTCTCAAAGGTCTACCTTTGTTTATAAGGGAAAAGTCTGAACATTTCCTGAAGACTTGCCTGGTAAGATGATTTATCAGCACATACATTTATACTTCAAATCCATCTCCAGATCCTATCAGGGGGTAACAGTTTTGTCTGGAATCCAAAACTAATCCATTAACTCTACTATCTGCCATGACATAGGAGACAAAGTGATGGTAAAAGTAGTTTATTAATTTGAGTTTCTCAGTGTTTGGATTTCTGATTTCATCTGAAAACACAATTCAAAGTATTATTCTAAAACAAAGATAATAGTTAATTAATGCTGCAAAAACACTGTCCTGAGACATTGAAAACCTTGAGATGGAGACATTCCATCTGATCTCCAACCTCGCTCAACTCCCTTATCCACCTTCACTGAACTTTCAAAAATGATTTGGCACAACTTCAACCACCGAAGTTGAGTAAACTCAAAAATGCTTTGCAGCTGGTTGCTTTATTTTTTTAAGTTAACTCAACTTTTTATTTATTTTTTACAGCGGGAGCATTCTGTTAGGAAGTGCAGTTCTGTTTCCATCTGATTCAGATCACAGTGTGAACACAATCTTCGCTCCGGTGGCAGCCATGTTTTTCTGTTTCTGCCCATCTCTATCATCAGCTTGTGTCCGCGGAGTCTGTATCTGGTCAACATGCTTCTCAGTTTCTTATCCGACACTGTGTACACACTGAAAAAAAATGTTTCATTCATCCAATTAAAAAAATTTAGGGTAATGATTCACATCTATATTTTTTAACTTGAGCCAATGAAAAATAAATAACTTGCCCTAAACAATATTTTCTATGTCTATGAAAACTATTTTATAAAACCTGGCACAAAGTATATTTTTCTTGTTGAAGAAAGTCAATTAATTTAAATTCTATTTTTGATCCAAACAAAAAAATATAGATTTAATCAAAACAAAAATCCTCATTTAAGACATTTATTTTTATAGTTTTCATAGACATATAAAATATTGTTTAGGACAAGTTATTTATTTTTCATTGGCTCAAGTTAAAAAATATAGATGTGAATCATTACCCTAAATTTTTTTAATTGGATGAATAAAACATTTCTTTCAGTGTAATTTCCCAGTTAAATCTATATCAGTTGTTTTATTTTTCCAATTTGTTAAACTAGAAAATTAAGAAAAAAAGCAAACAAATAAAGGAACATTCATGCAATTTTCAGTTTTATTTTAATTCAGTTACAAATGTTAATTTAAAAACACATCTGAAATCATTTCCCCATAAAACATGAAAAAACTAGTTTAACAAACTAACATAAAACAGTTTATCTCAGAATCACAACAAACGGCATCAAAACTATATGGTTTTATTTCACTGTGTTCACAATATTGGCAGTACTGAATTTTAGGTGCTAACTCACCTTTTCCGAGGTTGAGCATTACCTACTGAATAAAATATAAAGTGCTTTTCATTCACTTAGTCCAGGTGCAGGGCATAAATCAGTCTGAAAAAATGGACACTGTTGTCAAATACTCAAGATCATATGCTGCGTTCACACCATGTTCTACTTAGAGCTGTTCATGTCCTTGGACCGGGAACTGTGCATTTCTATGGCAAAACTATCGATGCCTAAATTAAAGGGATACTCCACCCCAAAATAAAAATTGTCATTAATCACTTACCCCCATGTCGTTCCAAACCCGTAAAAGCTTCGTTCGTCTTCAGAACACAATTTAAGATATTTTGGATGAAAACCGTGAGGCTTGTGACTGTCCCATTGACTGCCAAGTAAATTACACTGTCAAGGTCCAGAAAAGTCTGAAAAGCATCGTCAGAATAGTCCATAGTGCTGGGCGGTATGACCAAAAATGTATATCACGGCATTTTTCAAAATTATACCGGTTTCACAGTACATTATGGTATTTTTTTTTCATGCATGACCAGGTGTTAACCATATTTTCTACTGATTGAGAGGTAGATATTTGTGGCGGACAGTGTGGATATTGTGGATGAGTTCTTCTGTGTCATCATGTTCTATTATTTCTTCAGCTTCAGTTTCGGAACTTTCACGCTTAGTAACTAGGCATGGGCCGATAACCGGTTTCAAGGTATACCGCGATTTGAAAATGTCACGGTTTCAAAACCACTCATATTTTCTGTTATATACCCGCTGCTTCTCTGCTGCTCACTGCACAGAACAGACGCCAAGAGAGGTGACACTTCTCCGGGTAAGTCAGACCTCGCGTTCGCGGGACAGCACTGGCGAAATCTTCCAACTGAACCATAGCTAAGGTTTATCCAAAAAAGTTGCTAGGTTTAAAAGGGTCTGAAAGTTGCCAAAATTAAGTGCTAAAGGCTCATGTGTGTGTGTGTGTGTGAGAGACACGGGAGCTGATGGCAGGGGGCGGTAGATATTTGTGGCGGACAGTGTGGATATTGTGGATGAGTTCTTCTGTGTCATCATGTTCTATTATTTCTTCAGCTTCAGTTTCGGAACTTTCACGCTTAGTAACTAGGCATGGGCCGATAACCGGTTTCAAGGTATACCGCGATTTGAAAATGTCACGGTTTCAAAACCACTCATATTTTCCATTATACCGTTCATGCGGTATGCGCTGTTTTTCATGTCTTCTCAAAGACTGAAAGTGTAGGAATCTCTCAGGTTGAGTGCAGTGTAGAGAGTAACACGACCTTCCTCCTCCTGTGCGAGCGAGCAGTGGCGGCTCGTCGGGGGAGACAGGGGAGGCACAGCTTCCCCATAATTTTGAGGTGAAAATGGGAGGAGGACGATTTAATGTTAATAAAATTAACAATTCATTTCAGTTCATGTCTCAGAATGTGTATTTTTTGTTTGTAATTTCACATTACAAAATAAATACCATACATGAAATGTGTAATACCAGACATCAGTCTTTATTTTTCTTCTTTTTAGGAAACAAATCAAAGAAAAAATAAACAAATTCTATTGTTCCTAATATTCTCTATTTTGCTCAAAAACAAAATATATTGTGTTCAGCGGAAAATTTTTTTTTTTTTACCCAGTCATTTAAAAATAACACATTTTAGAGCTGTAACGACAATACCGTGATACTGTGAAACCGTGATATTTTTGCTTAAGGTTATCATACCGTCAAAATCTCATACCGGCCCATGGTTTGTTTCGTTCAGGCATGTAGTATAATTTCACAAAGCTAGTCAGAACATTCTGTTTTTGCTTCAAATTGGGTTATTATTAATTCAAATTATGTATATGAAATTATATAACGAAATTATATAAATTATATGTATACGAATTATATAACTAAAATGAAATAACTGTAATTACAGATTAGGTTCATCAGTCTTTATTTTTCTTCTTTTTAGGAAACAAATCAAAGAAAAAATAAACAAATTCTATTGTTCCTAATATTCTCTATTTTGCTCAAAAACAAAATATATTGTGTTCAGCGGAAAATTTTTTTTTTTTTACCCAGTCATTTAAAAATAACACATTTTAGAGCTGTAACGACAATACCGTGATACCGTGATATTTTTGCTTAAGGGTATCATACCATCAACATCTCATACCGGCCCATGCCTATTAGTAACACATACAGCTGTTCCTTCACCACAGTGCAACAGTGAAAAGGGACCCCTTTCAAACAGTGTCGTGTTCCAAACGTTGTTTAAGCAACATACGGTATTTTAAAAATTCATATCATAACAAAAATAAACACCGGTATTCAGTATGAACCAGTATACCGCCCAGCACTATGTACATGCCTGATGTTCTTCGTTCTTGTATAACTTCCATGTTTGAACATAGAGACAGGGTTTCACAGACAGGGCTTAGCTTAAGCCAGGACTAGGCCTTGGTTAAATTAGGTTATTTAAATAACTTTAAAAAATGCCTTGCCCTTCAGAACTTTACTGGTGTGCATCTTGAGACACGACAATGGCACTGACATATTTTAAGAGGTGTCAGTACAAGATATTTTCAGTTAAGACAGCTTGAACATGCATTTCTCTTCCATTTCTTCTTCCTTCGAAAACAAGATAGTCGTTAAGAGGGCTCTGAACCTAGATAGAACATAAGTATATTCATCCGTTTTTGTATTTATACCGTTAATTAATTTAAACTTACTCTTTCAAACAACAGCCATGTCTATTAAACGTTGTCGTTAAATTATTGCACTCACCACATTAGCACCACCATCGTCTCTCCTCCGCTGCAATCGCGGCTGCTGTATGAGTGAAATTAATTTACACTCCTCATAAACAACATCGAATGAAAAAGGAAAAGACGAAAATAATCTCAGTCGAACTCGCTGGTCCGGGTTTCAAGCGCAGTTTTGTCCGCTGCAGTACTTGGGCGAGTGAGGATGTAGTTCTGTTTGATTTGTGCAGTAATCTGACTGATTCTGATGTTGTGATTCAGAGCAGCAGTAGATGTTAGTGAAGCATCAGGACTGAAGCTCTGGATCAGCTGAGGGAAGGGCTTGCTTTCTTTGCTCATCTCTTGGTATTGCAGGGCTTTATAATGATATGATTGGGGGTCACTGAGCTTCAGATGTTTCCAGAATTTAATTGCCCTTTTTTGTATCTTTATGATTAGAGGATATTTGCCTAATTCTGCCCTGCATGCATTATTTGTTGTGTGTGCACATGTAATATATTTTTAGTTCTGCATGCAGGGTCTCAATTGGATGTTTTTCCCATTTGGTGAAATCTTTATTTGGATTTGTCAGTGGACCCCACACCTCACTGCCATAAAAGGCAATGAGCTCAATTACTGATTCTAATATTTTCATTGATGTAAATGTTAAATAATGTTGGTCTCTCTCTCTCTCTCTCTCTCTCTCTCTCTCTCTCTCTCTTTGAACTAAAAAATATTACTTGAAAAATAAAACAAATAATGGTAAATTTAATTGAAAGACAAATTATTAATTGGATGAAGGACTGCTTGAAAAACTTTTTTCAATGCAGATACTCTGCCATACTGTACTCTCTCTTTAGGGCCAAATAGCATTGCACTTTACTCTGTTGTTGTGTTTGTCTCTCTCTCTCTCTCTCTAATTCTCCATCACTCATTAATTTATTTATCTCTTATGAAAACACTTCCACTGTTTGAGATGTCTCTGGTCACAGCACGCATGCACATTCTTATTCTAAACCAGGACAGGAGGGATGTCCCATTAGTAATTACAGTAGAAGGGATGTCATGGTTGCTTAGCAACAGCAATTTGGGAAGCTGAATCTTGTGCAGCTCTGTTAGTATGCACCATCACACCTTAGTCCACCTTTACTGTAGGGCTTCATAGCAAAATACATTTTACATTTTTGATTACTGGCATATCAACATAGATACAGTCCTGTCACATGGACCAATATTATGCCATTACCTCCTTTCAAGACAAGTTACTTTTATTTATATACCACTTTATTCAATACATATTCTTTCAAATCAGCTTCAGAGTAATAAGAAAGGGAAAGTAATGGTGTTAAAGTTTTTAATTAGTAAAATTAAAATGTATAAATTATAAAATAAATTCAATTTCATCTTTAAAGCAGCTCTACAAATGACAATGCTGTCATTATTCAGCTGAATTTAGTTCAATTTTGATTCAGTTTAGTTAATAACAGTGTCTGTGTTGAAAAGGTTATCAGTTATACTTTGCATTATATAGTTAGTCTTTCTTTCTAATGAGCACCAAAATGATTTTTCTTAAGATTCATGGGTTTCATGTATGTACATATTCATTTTTCTCAGGATCCCGGGCAGGCTGAATGACAGAAGGACACCATTAGGGGAGCTGAACTGGATTTTCACAGCTATCACTGACACAATTGCATGGAACGTCCTGCCGAGAGGTTTGTCCTGATTAAAATCCAGATATTTGCAATCTCTGAAGATTTAGTTTTGTGTCAATCAACTGCACAGACCTTTCAGGGCTCCCAAAAGACTGACAAATTCATTTTGATCATTCAACATCTATTAAATTATTTTGGCTCAGTTTGAACTCAGATTTGCTTGTTGTCTTTGCTTTGCTTTTTATATATTATATTATATATATTTTTTCTTTTTTATATTTTTTATTTGTTTATTTATTTTTTGCATTTGCTCTCTAAAAAAACCCCTGATATTTTGACCCCATGAAAACACATGAATGCTGTAGTATTACTAATATTCAGTTTATCGTCCAGCCACAGACACAGTTTGGCAAATTAATTTTCTAAATTGATTTTTACTTCTTTTAACACTTTATATTAGGGAACACATATTTACTGTTAACTAAGAGTTTTCCTTTAATAAACTCCTAATTTGCTGCTTGGAGATGGTAATTAAGATTAAGTTGTATTAAGTTGTTATATTATTTATGTTTAGATATCAGGGAAGGGTTAAGGGATATAGAAATATGGTCATGCATTTATATATGGTCCATAAGTACTAATTAACAGCCAATATGCTTGTAATATGCATGCTAATAAGCAACCAATTAATAGTGAATAGTGTTGCCTTAGTTCTTAATAGAAAATACCAAAATAGATCCAAAAGGATCAGGATCAGGCAGGATCAACTGTTGCATACCCCAGAGCTACTCTGGCAGCAGTAAACACAGGCAAGTGAAGTGAGTCAAAGCATCTCAGTGCTCTTATATTGAATGTTGCTATTTTTAATCAGATTAGAGGACTAACACTAACTGTTGTATAAATAAATATAATTATGCTTAATTTGTGCATTCACAAGCTTTGTAAATGCTTTGCTGGCAGTTTTTACAGTGGTCTTCATTAAAACACAAGATATTTATCTAAATTCCCGAACTCAAGCATCGCACAAGACCAGCTTTGAAGTTTTTACTCTTGTCTCTGTCCTGAGGAGGAACCAGATGTGATTCTGCGGGTATATCCTGACCTCTCACATCCTTTAATTAATTATTGTACATCGGAGAGAAATCTGCATTATAAAAATCCACAGGGTTTAATCTGTCGTTCACACACATCATAATTATAGGGTCTCATTAAGACTGAGCATTTCAAACAACAGAATTTAGAATTTTTAATCAAGTTACCTGCTATCACATGTCATTCCTTTCTAATATATAAAGATTTTTTTTAATATACTTTCTCACTCTCAATCTCTGTAGATCTCTTTCAGAAATTGTTTCGTCAAGATCTTTTGGTGGCCAGTCTATTTCGAAATTTCTTATTGGCTGAGAGAATAATGAGGTCATATAACTGTACACCAGTCAGCAGCCCCAGGTTGCCACCCACATACATGCACGCTATGTGGTAAGTGTATGGATGTGAACGCACACACACACACACGCCGTATCTACAATATTTTCCCTAACACTGTATGTACAACATTTGTTCAGACAGGACCATTTTTTGTTGTGTCTAACTCATATGCTTAGTTGTTCTTAGGCTAAACAGTAAAAAAGACAAGAAATCCGTATTTTTTATATGGTTTTAAATACATTGGATTTTTGGAAAATTCTTGAAGCATCTTGGAGACGTTGCCACAGTTCTTCTGGATTTAGTCAGTAGAGTTGGAGTACTCCGACTCGAGTACAGTTTTTTAAAGGACTCGGACTTGTCACGGACTCGGATGCATTTTTACTCGGACTTGACTCAGACTCGAGTCCAGAGACACGATACCTGCTATTCAAGCGGATCACATGCGCGTGTCGGCTCAGACCACAAAATGTATCGGAGCTATTTGAATTCTACACAGAATGCTATATTTTATAACGGTATGGATGAGATTGTGGATGGCATACCCTGTCAAATGCGGCTTTACGGAGCTCAACGGCTCTGAACGGCTCTAGCCCGCAGAGGCCGTGGGCTAGAGTGAGGAACTGCCGGAGGGATAGAGTGAGCAGAGGCGGCGGGCTTGAGAACGGTGTGGCCGGTGGATTCAACGAAGGAGCATCCGGAGGGCTTGCGGCAACCACATGTGACAACCCCGGGACGTTTGGGCGGCGTTATGCAAATCTTCCGAGATCGTGACGTAGATATGTGGGGGCGTGTTAGAACGAGCCGTTTTAGGTAGGCGTGGCTGACTCTTAACTTTTATAAAGAATATCTCTTTGGATTTGAGACTTTAGTCTTTGCAACTTTACAGATCTTCTTTATGCACCAAGAGCTTGTAACACTCCAAAGAGAAAGGAAAAATTGAAATCGCATCATATGACCCCTTTAAGTCCTGTCGGGTTTCTGTGCTCACACCGAAAGTGCGCTCATAGAATAACGCGCCTCTCAGTCAGCGTGCGAATGCCGAGTTCTTTCGCTTAAGTTCTCTTAAGTTCTGTTATTGCTACACACTTACACGTAAAGTTATGTCAAAATGCCCATCTTCGAGACTATTCATGTAAATGCAGTCGGTTTTGTCTTATGTGAACTTGAACAGTTGGGAGAAATACGGATGTGTCAAAGTATTTGATCTATGCATCAGATCTTAAAGCAACAGCGTAAACCTGCAGCCGCCGACTGCGTCATAAATGTTAATCAAATAATAGAAAAGGAGAAAATCACTCACTGCTCTTGACTGAATCACTTATTAACTTCAATAAGAATCATCTATATTTAATGAATATAGTGAAGATTATTTTTACATTTATTGCATCATGAAATGTCTGTAGGCTATTTCTGTAGAAGCCTTTACTAGACTATCTGAAAAACTTAAAAAACAAAAAAAAGATTTAATTTGTATTTTTGAGTAATATATTTGTTTAGCATTTAGCTTGTAAGTAATACTTGGAGTGTTTACTTGCCTTCAGTAAGCTTGAGAATGTTTTACTACAATAGTTTATTATTTTTTGCTTTTGTATTGATTTTTTTTAAACATAGTGGCAGTTACTAGCTTCAAAGAAAAAAAAATTCTAACATCTTTGTGGCAATAGTTTTTATGGGTCCAAAATCACCTTGGGTGTGCATTATTTTCTAATAATTCAACGACCCTTCATCAGTTAGCCTATTCCTTACATAATGTAATTTATTGTAATTAATGTAACGATAAATGCATTCAAAAATAAAACAGGTTGTGACTTATGGAAAGTATATGTAGGGCTTTTATACACAGTGTGTGCCATTGTACAGACCAGGTTTATCCCTCACAGCTTCATTTTCATCCGAGAAAAAATTCAAAATGCCCTGTCTAAGGGAGATGGTCCTCACTGCAGAACACAAGATCCAGGGGGCGAGGTTGGATCTAGATCCAACTCCTCCCACCTTACATATACACCTCAATATTTTTTATTGAGATAAAAGGTGCATTTTCTGCTCTTAAGGTCCCATTCACCAAGATACCTACTCCCTTTACCCCCACCCTGGAATTTATACATTTATTTTAACGATGAATAAAGTCAAGTCCCGCCCTTTAATTTTTCACATTCTAAAACCTGTTTCACTCTGAAATATGTCACAATACATAAATCAATTCAGCCATAACTTCTGTTACATGACTTTAAGTTTGCTAAGCAAAGCAGGGCACTAATTATTAATTAAAAATCTAAATGGAAAGATATAATAGAGGTTTGCTTTTGTTACATTTAAATTGCGTTTTTCTAGTTGTAAAGGTTAAAACAATGTTAAGATGTTGGACTCGGACTCGGCTGTTTGGGACTCGGACTTGAGTCCAACTCAGCCCGTTTTGTACTCGGACTTGTCTCGGACTCGATTGGTTAAAGACTCGGACTCAACTCTGACTCGACTTGGGTGGACTCGAACCCAACACTATTAGTCTGTCTCAGTTTGTTCTGTTTTTTCATGTCATTCCAGACAGACTGGATGATGATGAGATGAGATCTCTGTGTTGAGCAGTGGCTGTTGTGCAACAAAAATTTCACTGGATTATTACAATTATTGGCAAAATGAATGTTTGGAAATGTAAACTGATATTTCCTACTGACACACTACAGCAAAAGATAGAAATAACTGACTTAAACCCATTTTTAGCTGTTGAAAATACTAGTATTCTAATAATTTTGGCCACCACTGTATAAAGTGATGTTTTTGTTAATATGTTAAAATAATATGTAAACATGTTAATATTTTTTTCTTAATGTTTAAATAATAAATATCAATATAATTTTTTATTATATTTTTACATAAGGTTGTGTATTCAGCAGCACATTAGATTTTGCTGTGGCAAAGTCTTTGAGTATCGAGTATCGTATTGGTATTGAGTATTGATATTTTGGTATCATGGCAAACTCTCAGTAATATTCTGTTTTATTATATTTCTCCTAAAACCAAAATCGGCATGCCAGACTTTAAACAACATTCCATGGAGAAGAGGGAGCTTTTTTATTCCTACAGTGAATGGCACTACTTATTTATTTACACTGGTATTTTACTCATAGGTCTTTCCCTCTGCATTTTAAATGAACTATGTTATGAATTTTCATTCCCCCTCTCTCTCCCCATGTTTTCCATCATCAGTATCATGCTGTTGGCTAAACCTGCACTGCGTAATCCTCAGCAGTGTATGATGGAATACAGACTTTGTTCTCCACAGCTAGTTGAAGCTTGAATCTCATAACATACCATTAGCAAGAGAGAAATAGATTTCACTTTCATAATGGAGCATCAGAGCTCTTTAGTTACACTGTGCAGAAAGTTCCTTGAGTCTTCTGATGTTCTGAAACAGGAGATGAGAAATGGAGAGAGGCGGAAATAGAGGGAACATTTGGTAAAGGAAAGAAAGAGTTACGGGAACATTAGAGAGGAAGGATGGTGCCTTCCGCTATTAGGAGGAGACATGATGAAGCAGGGCGGGGAGTAAGGGAAAGAAACAATACAGGAAACAGACAGAAAGAATATCAATGGTCTTTGTGAAATAATCATCGCAGTGTGCACCAAAGGTGACAGCAACTGTCCCAAAAAAACAACTGTTCACAATCTAAAATGATTATAGAACTAATGTACAAATTAACCCTTTGATGTATGCACGGTTTTACCATACATCGAATTTGTACTTAAAGGGGTCATATGGTGCGATTTCAATTTTTCCTTTCTCTTTGGAGTGTTACAAGCTCAAAACTAATTTAAATGTTTTAAAATACTTCCATATTTATTATAATGGCTATATTTAGAATTAGCAGCATATTATGTCATTTATTTTATTAAATTAAGCAATATATTAACTACTATATTACTAAATTAAACAATTAAACATTACAGTCCTGTTTATTATATGTATAGTTTTTATGAATGTCATTACACCATAAATAAAATGAATAATCATTATTGTTATATGATTATGTGGCTGAAAAATAAGACTCCTAGGTTCAAATCCAGGTGATTTTTAGAATTCAGCAAACAAAGCAGGTAGTTTTATTGTATTCATTTTGTGATTTTACTGATTTGATTAACTTGATCTATACTTAGCATTCATCCATTCATCCCTCACCATGTACGAGACACAGTACTGTAGAAGCAAAAGTGGGATGGGGCAGCCAGCAGAGGGAAGGGAAATATCTCTGCTCAGAAAAGGTTAGATTTTTTTAATGAGAGGGAAAAGCAGATCAATTGGCAAAACCGGCAAGACAGGATGGACCAGTGGAGTGAGGATATTAGAGCTGGGAGGAATGCCTTGTGCTGTTGCCTGTTGTCATGATCAACTACGGCAGCTGGCCTAATGATATTGGGACTTTTCTCCCATAAAATGTTTGTATATTTACATTCCACTCGGAGACATCCTGCTGATAGGGACTGGCAAATCATATTAGAGCTATAGCTGTAGTTTTAGCTTTTGAATGGACAACACGTTTTATGTGTTATGTAATATCATGAATTAAATATAGCCAAAGTGTTGCGGGTTCAGTGATCAAAGTAATTCTCTCAGCCTATGCGGCAGAAGAAAATACTTTGAAAAAGAAGTGTTAAACCACAGTGTTTGCTGGAGCTCTGAAAGTTCAGCACTGCTGCTGTAGGTGAAGTGTCAACAGATTAGTTCTCATGTAATGTAACATAACTTTACATGCAGCCTTTGACAAGTGCAGTGAAGATTACATGCAGATACTCTATAGCAGTGCTTTTCAACTTGTAGGTCTGTTCTTGGGTCACAGGCAGCAGGAAAAAACAGTGCTAAATATGTGTACTTAGTAATGTGTACTTAATTGCTACCTAAATAACTTTAGTACCATTTCGATATTAAAAAAATAAATCTACAGTACATCTTGATGCACAGATTGATGCACAAAAACAAATCTTATTGCTTCTTGTGGAAGCTCAAATGTGCTAGTGGGACAATCGTGATCAAACCTCATTTGTTCTTGAGCGTCAAGAAACCACATATGAGCTTCTGTTTACCACATTTGATGTGTTCTGTGTTTGATATATGATATATCAGTTTATCTGTGAATATAAGCCTAAATTAAACATTTTTGTCATGTTTTTTTGCATATTGGATTGCAATGGAGGGACAGAAATCTTTCAGGTTTTATTACAAATATTTGTGTTTTGAAAATGAAAGATATGAAGTGAGAGTGAGCAAATAATGAAAGAATTCTCATTTTTGGGTGAAGGAGAGAAATAATATGTCTCAAAGATTTCAAACAAGTAAATTTACAGGGTTCTCCATTCTTTAATAATGAATGTGCTCAAAAGAAAGTGCCAGTGCATATTTTTATTTGGTCAGAACCAAGAAACTCACAGCAAGAAACATGAGCGTGGGATTGACTAATGTGGCATCGTTGTGTGTGTGCGCAGGCAAGCGTGGGACCTTGCGGTGGACATCTGCCTCTCCCAGCTTCCCACCATCATCGAGGAGGGCACAGCTTTCAGGGTGAGCATGACTGATACTGCCTCTGTGTGAAGATCAGACGGAGAGAGACTATTTCATGATCAGTTATTCAGGGTCTTCTATAGCTTTTATTCTTTTGCCTCAAATTAGCACTGCAGTCCTACTTATGATTTCAGTTCAGTTGTAGAATCCCTAATCATACTCAAAGTGATTTGTATATTTGCCCTATGCCCTCAGTAGTTATTTAATTTGATCTGGTCTCGTGTTCTAAATGTTGTTCAGTTTTCTGTTAATATCACAACTTTTTGGTGTCTGGTTTGTTTTTCTGAATTTTTAAGAAATATGATAAATAAAAATACAACATTGTTAACACAACCAAAGCAAAAGATACTGAATATTGGGGGGCTGTAACGAGTCAGTCCACTGAAGGCGAGCGTAGTGAAAACCCAAGTGCAGTTTATTTACAGGTGATCCAAACTCCAAACATAATCCAAACAAGATACACAGACTAGAGACACAGACTTGACTTGACGAGGCATGAACAGACTTGACTAGGCATGAGCAGACTTGACGTGGCATAAACAAACTAGACTAACCGACAGCGGGTTACAACTTAATTCAATACACGACAAGAGACAATGGCAACAAGATGGCTACTTATAACAGACAAGGAGGGTCACATGACATGAACAAACCAATGGGAAACAAGACACATGACTAAGACAACCAATCAGAGCATGACACAAAGAACAGAGGAACCAATGGCATGAAGACAAGAGGGCAAGGGAAGCATGACACTGACAGCATGAAACAATTACAAAATAAAAGACATGGAAAACATGAACATGAAACAAAACAAAACCCCACATTACAGGGGCTTTCAAACCTGTGTTTCCCTCATGAACACCATGTCTAAAAGTGTCACAGACACATGTGCTAATTGCTGAACTTTTGACTGTTTTATTTACTTTTTTCCACCTCTTTTTTTGTGCTCAATTTTACTGGATATGAGGTGCATTTCCTATTGTTTCTGATATGCTCTTCTGATATAACAGCTGAATTTCTCTCCTGGGATCAGTAAAATGTTATCTAATGGACTGACTCTTGTGACTTTCAGACATTTGTGAATCAGTGTCTGTCTTGTGTAATGGTTGCAGTGACCTTGATTTCTCAACCTGATATGATTTGTCTTTAGTGCAACAGATGCTGTTTCTGCTAACACACAAACGCTCATATTGCTGTTCTCAGGCTATTAAAAGAGTGTTTGAAAGTCTGAAATTCAGTTATGTAGTCGTGCTGGGACTGAACAAATAATATGTCTCACATTCACCCCTGTCTTTATTGTTACTTTTGGGATTCAGTGATTCTTATATGCTTATAATTGTGTGTGTATCTGTGTGCGAGAGAAAAGAAAGATGAGAGATGAGAATTAGAGAGCCGCTAATGTCTTGATATTTCTTACTTAAAAGGCTTTCACACTGAGCAGATTTGTTGTGATACAAATCAGAGTGTGATTGTTCCTAGTGCCCCCTTTAACATTGGTCTGATTTCACACTTACTTGCTTTCTTCTTATGTTATCACAAACGTGCACTGTGCATGACAGAACACACAACATGGGTCAATTTTTTACATTTAATTTGGTGTGATTATACGCAGCTTGATGCAAGGACACTGCCATCTAACTGTATTTGCATCACATGAACGTGGCTTTCTGACATCTAATTGCGAGCCATTCATTTGCTGCTCTGATTGCACTCACCATGCAGGATTACACTGCATGCTCACGCTTGCACGTATCCTGGGTAAATCATCACCGCTGTCTTTCTTGCATGTGTTTTGCTGTACTAATGATGTTCTTCATGTGAATCGCATCACAGTTCCGGCACAACCAAACTCAGACCACCTCTTACACGTAGACTTTGGTTGGATACCCAGCTGTACTCCTGGGTCCGCATGACAGCTTTCACATTACCAATTTTTCATGTGTAACATACCCCTATTTCGAACTAAACTGCCAGTGTGAAAGCACCCTGAAAGTGTGTGGTACAGTGGGTAGAGTGACACAGCTTGTTGAGAACTGGGCCAAATTACACACACTCTTCAAAGCCACTGTGAATTAAATGGTTAGTGGCAGACACCCCTTTGATTAATCACACATACTATGCTATGATACAGTATGCTAATATTCCAGAAACTGTACATTGAATAAGTTAAAGAAATATTACCCAAAAATGAAAATTATCCAAAAAAAATTACTTATCCTCAGGCCATCTACGATGTAGATGAGTTTGTTTCTTCATCTGAATAAATGTGGAGAAATTTAGCATTACATTACTTTCTCAACAATGGATCCTCTGCAGTGAATGGGTGCCGTCAGAATAAGAGTTCAAACAGCTGATAAAAGCATCTCAGTAATCCCCACTACTCCAGTCGATCAATTAACATCTTGTGAAGTGAAAAGCTACATGTTTGTGTAAAAAAAAAAAACATCAAGGTGTTTGAACTTTAAACCGTCTCTTTTGTGAAAAGTCATTCCTCTGTTGTCCTCTCAGAACAAAATCCACCAACATATTTGTTAACTTTTTTGGACCATTTTAATTGTCCTTACTTGTTCTGTGCATATTTCTCTTCTGATTCAGATGAGATAACTTTTGAACTGGAGAAAACAATATTATAGGACTTGTTCCGGAAATGGAAGCGGTATGAAGTTAAAAACATCTTGATGATGAACTTGTTTATTACAAACACACAGCCCTCCACTTCACAAGGTGTTAATTGATCGACTGGAGTTGTGTGGATTACTTGTGGATTATTGTGATGCTTTTATCAGCTGTTTGAACTCCCATTCTGACGGCACACATTGACCGCAGAGGATCCACTGGTGAGGAAGTGATGAAGGCTAATGCTAAATTAATCCAAATCTTTTACAATGAAGAAACAAACTCATGTTCCTCTTGGCCTGAGGGTCTTTTTTTAATACTAAATATGCATTTATTGTGGTTAATTTCTGTTTTAAATAGTAATTTTATCCGATTACCAATTCTCGTTCATAACCTTAATACACCAGAGTTTGAAGAATTGCAAAATATAGGTCCTGAGAAATGTAGCACTGTTAAATGATCACTTATGTACACAGTTTTGGTCTGATTTAAAGAGTATCAGTGCTCACTGCATTTGTGTGTGTTTACTTGTCTGTCTCTCACAATTTGTTTTATATCCACAGCATAGTCCATTCTTTGCTGAGCAGCTGACAGCCTTTCAGGTGTGGCTGACAATGGGCGTGGAGAACAGAAACCCACCGGAGCAGCTGCCCATCGTCCTGCAGGTACCTAGAAAGCATTTTAGTGATCGTAGGCACACTGCTGACATGAAGTGGTTTCCAAAAGATTGGAAGCAACATCATTCTGCTAAATTCTAAGACAGCATTATATTTTTGCTTTACAGAGGAGACAACCCCAGAGTGCAACAAGTCAAAACATTTGTCCAAAAATGGCAGATGAGTTGAGAGAAATATTGATTATGAATACATTTAATCCAATATTCAATGATGAAAATATGGCACAATATTAAAATTTGCAAAAATATCTTTGATGAACTTTTTCATCAGAGTTTTTGTTGTAATAAATGGCAGGCTAAATGCAACATACAAATATAGCATACAATACAGTATTAATTATTTTTCAGAATAGTTGCAATTTTAAAGTTGATTTGACTGTAAGGGAGAAATGTTTCTTGTTTTTCGAAATTTGTTGTTGTGCTTGGAGTAAAACTGTAAGGTAAGTAACAGTTGCAAAGTTTGGTACGTCTCCATGTGGCTGTTCTACTGCAAAGGATAATCTAAATTCATCCACAAAACTGAATGTGAACATTGATGAGAATTTGAGCCTATCACTACATTAAAGGAATTTGTCTTTAATTCTAATAAATCATTGGTTTAACACTTAAAATGCTTAGTTTAGTACAGCAATGCTTTGCGTTGCTTGTGTTTGTGTACAATGTGTTTTATATTACAGTGTCTCCTGTTTGGGCTTATTCAGCAGGATGTGAGGTTCACTCCTCTGAGAGCAATAAAAGCAAATAAAACTCTGAGGCATAGTGAAAGAGAGATATTGACTGCAGAGACAGCACTACTAAGGGGTGTGTGAATGGGTACAAAATACACAAAAAGTGTGTACAAGTGACTGACTGCAGGGTTTTGTGGTCCAGCTCCCTGGTGCCGCAGTCACACTGCCACACTACCCTAAATTCCATTGACACCCCCAAGCAGAACTACATGTCCCATGATTCTTCTCTCTTGGGCTGGTGTCAACCTCATGAGATTCAGGGTTATAGTATAAAGGCCTGTTCACACCAAGAACAGTAACTGACGGTTTACTTTATTAGCGCCTACATCAGCAAACAATAACATTCTGTTTATTATAATCACACGACACAGTTATGTCTTCTGCTGTTTTTAATGCTTGAGCTCCTTTAAGCCGCATGGATTCTGATTTAATGTTTTAATTGCTCATCAGCTGGAAAAAAAGACTTCTAAAAGTAATTCCATCAGTACTGTTGTTCTGTGCTATTTCTTGCTGTGGTGTGGACTATTCTCATAGAATTAGAATGATTATTAAAACTTTATAGTTATCATCCTTGGTTTAAACAGGTGCCTTAACACACAGACACTCACACATTCTCTCACAAACCATCTGGGTTAATATATATATATATATATATATATATATATATATCTCTCACACACACATAACTGTTCAAAAGTTTCTTAAGTCTCTTAAGCCCAATAAGGCTCCATTTTTTTTAGGAGTACAGTAAAAAATAAAATCTTTCCAAATATTACTATGGTTTC